TCAGACGTGTGCTCTTCCGATCTCCCCAAAACCCCAAAACCCCAAAATGATAGATTTAGAATTGATTAAGGAAATTAAAACACTTAGGATGAATAAATCAGAAAAATTTGAATGATATTGAAAGTGCTTCAAATGCTTGTTTTGATTGTTACCTTACTGACTATGGGATACTATTGCTGAAATCTTCACTTAATCTTTTGAGAGCCTCTACGAAGCTGACACTAGTATTGTAATTTATTGCGTATTAATCGTCTATTAGTCTCTTAGAGATGTCATGAACCCAAGTAATCAAAACATTCAAGAAGTCTCTTTTCTGGATCATGTCTGTTATCTTTTAAACTAGGAAATCTAAAACATTCTTAGACAGTTAATCAACACAAATTCCACTCTTGCCCATAAGTTTTATCAACAGCATCTCATCTTTATTCCTCATTAGTACTTAACTATAGGCTTCGTTTAGATCTCCATCGACGACTAGTTGGCTCACTTTATTCCAGTCATTATTAGTCCCTTGCAATCTACTCTGATTATTCTATTAGCCAAAGGTTTCTCGTGAGATGTTAAGTTAGTTTGAAGCTTTAAGGAGGCTTGTTTAATTAAATATAGATGTATTTTGGCCGTTTGCTTGTGGGCCAGAGGCTCTAAAGCTGTTATAACCACCTCCTTAATTGAAGTCATTTTAATAGTAGTCTCTAGCTGTATTTGGTACATAACTGCCTGCTCCAAAATTCTAGAATTAAAGTCTCATAGACTAAGGAGACCCAAAAGTCTATCTACCATACTCTTCTGGAGTGGCCGAGCCTATGTAAAATTATAAACATCAGTTTTTAAAGATTACCTATTCTCATTAATTCATCAACTGAACCCTCTATAGTTTGAATTTTACTCTTCAAATAATCTATTTCATTCCTTGTGAAGTTTTAGAATGAATTCATACTTTCTAGCATTCTTAGTTATTGCTAATGATTTATATAATTAGAACAAAATCTTACATTAGAAATCTTATCCAATTCATAAAAGATATAGTTCAAGCTATTATTGAAAGAAGTAGTGTCAATACCGGTGGTATCCTCTTGATCTCCTGGTTATTGCTAAGAATACCCATAATTCTAAACAAAATTATTTATCTATTGAATTGGAGGTCTATTGTATCCATCTTACGGAGCTTAACCCATATTTGGAGGTTAGAACTTTGAGATATTCGATATTCTGCCATAGTTCTAATTAAATTCTGGACCGTATAGCCCTGTGATGTCTATTTTATCTCTTGATGGTGATTGCTTATAAGATGACTCTTTTAAGTTGAATGACTACTGAGCATTCAGATTTTTGTTTTGAAATGATTCGGACTGTTTTCTTGAGCCGCTTCTTGAGTCTCTCTAAACAGCAATTTTCAGGTATGATTTGCTCTGCATAGTCTCATCATTAACAGGATAAACCTCTGTTTCAAGCACCTCTTAAGTCTCATCACGTGGGGAAGTAGAGTTATACTATCGTGGTGATACTTATTCATCCTTATTTCTGCTATCATTAAGTTCTTCTCTTTGATTCAATTGATCTTAGTCCTCATCTTCATCAGAATCTTAATTCTAAGCTATCTTTATCTCTATTCCGTTCTCAACTATATATTAAATTAGGTGAGATATATTATTTTCTACTTTTTTCAACTTTATCAAAGAAATCTTTATTTACTGGACCAGTGAAAATAGAGGTCTTTTGCTTTTGGTCTTTTTACTGCTGCTATAAAAGTTCTTTTCTAACTGGTGATTTAGACTTCATGATTCTTGCGTTCATAAGCTTCTTTTAGGTGACTGCTGTAACTTATTTGCCTTATCCTGTGGGTGATTATCTCCCACCAAGACCGGTTTTCTTATCAACCTATATCTCAAATTTCTCCTGGGGCATTTCTCTTGGCCTTGGAGTTGGGTCCTCTCTTGAGGCCTTTTTATCAGGACCATCCGACCTTGAGACTCTTTCTTGTTTCTAAGGTGGCAAGTCCTTTAAAGCTGAAATGGCTTCAATTGTAGCTTCTCTTATTGGCTTTTGCTTATCAAATCTGCTTTCATTTAGAATCTCTATAAAATGATCCTTAAATGGGGAAAGAGCAGGGGGAAGGATAGCTGCTAGAGTATAAATGACATCAATAGCCATTTTCTTGGTTTCTTGATCCTTCGATTATGCCCCCTCAAGAATAAATGGAAGAAAACTCTTGACATAGGGATGAAATTCCTTCTCTATTGATAAAACTATTGAAATCACACACTCAAGTATTTGAGCCCTACACTTTGTAGTAGGATTGTTAATTTGCTCGAATATCCTATTTGCTAGCTTAGGCAGTAACTTCTTAATACAACTAGCAGGGGAGCTTTGTATAACTTTTGCCAAGCAAACCGATGCTGTTACTTGCTAATTCTTTCCAGGTGCAATTATATTTTAATGCAACTCCCTAAGAATAATCTTCAGCTGATCAATGCTTTCCTCTTTCCCCTCTAGATTCTTTAGCATAAAGTGAAAGAGCACTCCAAGGGAATCAGCGAGTGCCTAGCTAAGTTAGGGATCTATATCTTTGAATTTTCTTTGGTAAAACTAAATGATTTTAGGCATGAAAGGTATGATATTCTCTCCAAATAACTCTCCTAGCTAGCCAAATATCCTTAGATGCTCTTTCTTTTGCATGGGCTTCATATGCTCATTGACATCTGAGATAAGATGAATGAAGGTATTCATTCTCTCTGAATCTGTAATATGCTCAGCCATTACTTCTCTCATCTCATCCTAAGCGTACTTCAAAGTAGAGTTGTCTCCAAACTTTGCCAATATTTGATAAATCTGATTCTTGAAATCTTAAGAGTTCTTAACTGGTTGAAGGGAAGTTCTATTGGGTCTTGTTTGTGGCACTGACATGTTATCTCTTGTAATGATATATTATTTTGCCTTGATTTTATAAATTATAGAATAAAATAAATTGTCTAAATGTTTAATTAAAACATTAAGAGTTGGGGTTTTGGGGTTTTGGGG